GGTGAGACCGTTTTGGTGGTTCAGTGGTCATCAAGGACTCAGGCCCCTCTGTCATTCGCCATCCTATTTATAACTCAAAGAGCCTCTTGGTCCAAGATGGCTGCTAGAACTCAAGCTATCACTACACTTGATCTTAGCAAAAGGCTGAGGAGTGATTAGAACTCAAGCTATTACTTCCAGGAAAAGAGAGGATGGGAGGATTTTCCCAGGTGAATCAATTCCCTTTAAGCAGCCATCCCCCAAATTCCATTCAGTGCTTTTATCTAATACTTAGTTAGCAAAGGTTTAGACAGATTATTGGCAAGGGTAATGGCGGTTAGAACTGTCATAAATTAAAATAGCATAAGCTGGGCCACTGGGTGAAAGCCAGAAAACGTAGCCATCTAGTGTATTGTCGGGGAGAAGGCAGGAGGAAATGATAGTTATTAAGGGAAGTTAAAGCACCACAATAAAGTTTGGCTGTGAAAGAGGCGATAAGATAGGGGTGGAAGAATGACAAGAAAGTGCAAGCCAGTGACTCTGGGCTTGCACTTGGGCAGGGGGAGGTGGTCCTGCTAGTGGTATTCAGGCTTTTTAAGGAACTTTTCATAGACCGGCAGCTCTCTAGGAACTGTGGCTGGCTGCAGGTTTTGTTTCCACTGCAAATGAAGATACAAATTGTCCTTTTTGTTAATCTTTCCAAATCCCTCTGCAGGCCACATCTGAAATTCTTTTGGAGATTATAAAGCATTTTATTTCAGGATTAGAGATAAAGATGCCTTCTACTTTAGGTTAAAATGCAAATATCCATCAAGGTTAAAACTGTGATTTATTCAGACCAAAGTACAACAGACAATGAGCCAACAAAAATCAGATCTTTTCCAGTTTTAATTTATGACTTTGTGGGATTTAAGGAAGGAAGGAGTATCTAATGAAAGATCTTTACTTATTAGGGCCAGTGCTGTTTATTCTCAAATGGAGCTACAGAGGAATCAATAAAAGCTAAAGATATTCCTTATCAGATTTAGGAAATATGTGTTCTTTTCTTTAGGTTAAAGTTACAGGGAGGAAAGAGTTTTCCTTGACCCTCCTAGGATCCCTGGCTGGGTCTGAAAATTAAACTGACAAAGACAGATGAACAGGAATGAATGAATTTTTACATGTATACGGGAGTCTTCATAATGAAGACCGGAAGAAGTGACTGGAGCAGGAAGCTTTTATACCTTTTGAACAAAGAAGTAATACATTTGTGACAAATTGACAAGGAATTTGGGCTATGGGTATTAAAGAGTGAAGAAGTAACTAGGAAGATAAGGGTAAGTTTAACAAGGTTAAAAAAAATTTTTTTTTAAGTTTATTTACTTTGAGAAAGACAAGGACAGCATGAGGGGGGTAAGGGGCAGAGAGCAAAGGAGACAGAGAATCCCAAGCAGGCTCCATGCTAGTAGCATGGAGTCTGATTTGGGGCCTTGAATTCAGGGAACCAGGAGATCATGACCTGAGCCAAAGCCGAGAGTGGGATGCTAACTGACTGAGCTACCCAGGTGCCCCTAACAAGGTTTGTTTATGTAGCCTTCTCCACTCTAAATTACATTTCTGGTGATTAAAATGTTTTCTCTCCTCCTGGTACAGAGAAGGCACCTATTACGTGGCAGTTTTGTTTGTTTATTTGTTTGTTTATTTATTTATTTTTAAAATTTACAACCATGTTAGTTAGCATATAGTATAACAATGATTTCAGGAGTAGATTTAATGCCCTTTACCCATTTAGCCCATTCCCCCTCCCACAACCCCTCCCAGAACCCTCTGTTTGTTCTCCATATTTAAGAGTCTCTTATGTTTTGTCCCCTTCCCTGTTTCCCTACAATCTTTGCTTCTCTTCCCTTGTGTTCATCCATTCTGTGTCTTAAAGTCCTCATATGAGTGAAGTCATATGATATTTGTCTTTCTCTAATTTTGCTTAGCATAATACTGTCTAGTTCCATCCACGTAGTAACAAATGGCAAGATTTCATTCTTTTTGATTGCTGAGTAATACTCCGTTGTGTGTGTGTGTGTGTGTGTGTGTGTATGTGTGTGTATACACATATACACACACTACATCTTCTTTATCCATTCATCCATCAGTGGATATTTGGGCTCTTTCCATACTTCAGCTATTATCGATACTGCTGCTATGAACATTGGGGTACATGTGCCCCTTGGAAACAGCACACCTGTAGCCCTTGGATAAATACCTAGTAGTGCAATCGCTGGGTTGTAGGGTAGTTCTATTTCTAATTTTTTGAAGAATGCCATATTGTTTTCCAGAGTAGCTGCACCAGTTTGCATTCCCACTGGCAGTGAAAAAGAGATTCTCTTTCTCCACATCCTCCCCAACATCTGTTGTTGCCTGAGTTGTTAATATTAGCCATTCTGATGGATGTGAGGTGGTATCTCATTGTGGTTTTGATTTGTATTTCCCTGATGGTAAGTAATGTTGATCATTTTTTCATGTGTCAGTTGGCCATCTGGATGTCTTCTTTGGAGAAGTATCTATTCATGTCTTTTGTCCATTTCTTCATGGATTATTTGTTTTTTGCATGTTAAGTTTGACAAATTCTTTATACATTTTGGATACCAACCCTTTATCTGATATGCCATTTGCAAATATCGTCTCCCATTCTGTCAGTTTGCCTTTTAGTTTTGCTGTACATCGCAGTTTTATGAACTCTTTCAGGGAAGAAAGATGAGAGGGTGAGGTGCAGAGTGACCTTCCTCCTTCTGCAGTTTTTCTCAAATTCCTTCAGCTTTATTCAATATGCCAATGTGCTGTATTTTGGGTTAGTAGTCCTGAACCCCCTCAAAGGTATATCTTGTTTTGTGAGATATATATATTGTTAAAATAATTGAGAGCACTGCTGTGGATATATTATTTTTTAGGGAGCGACTCTCTTCCCACTACCCCTAGTTTATTGACATTTGTTTTGAGAATTTTATTTAATTTTCAGATTTTTTGTGTGATTCTCCTCTCCCAACAAAAAGCTCTAGATTGGTGTACTTTGTGTGTTCCCCATTCCCTTTGTCACTTTATACATACCTTTTGATTTCTCTGCTCATTTTCTGTTTCCTCCACTAGATCTCATGTCTCCAGGAGTACAGGGACTATTTAGTTTTGTTCACTGTGTATTTCCCATTTTCTGGCTCAGTGTCTGGCATATAGTAAATACTCAATAAATATTTCTGAATAAATAAATAAATAAGAGTATTGAAATTTTGGGTATAATTCTTTGATGTAATTAGTAACTACAGGTAGTATATTGCTTTGTATATTCAGCAGAGAAAACAGCTCTGCTATATAAGCATTTTTTATTTCATTTTTATTATTTTAAGTAAGCACTAAACAGGGGTCTTAAACTCATGACCCTGAGATCAAGAGTCACATGCTCTACCAACTGAACCAGTCAGGCTTCCCCTATGAACATTTCTTTTAGGAGATATAGTATACCTGATTAAAAAGAAAAGTTCTTATTATAGAAGAAATTCTATTAGAACATGGTTTATTTATTTATTAAAAATATTTTTTAATGTTTATTTTTGAGAGACAGAGTGCCAGCAGGGGAAGGGCAGAGAGAGACACACACAGAATCTGAAGCAGACTCTAGGCTCTGAGCTGTCAGCACAGAGCTCAGTGTGGGGCTGGAACCCAGGAACTGCGATTTCATGACCTGAGTGGAAGTGGGATGCTTCACCGACTCACCCACCCAACTCCCCCTGTTTTGTTAAATATATATTGTATTACATCATGCTTCCAGACAAGTTTTATAATTGTGTGTGTATACACTTTATTTTTATTTGTGAGAGAGAGAGGGGGTGGGAGAGACAGAGGGTGGGGGGGGAATGCGAGCAGGGAGAGAGCCAGAGAGAATCCTAAGCAGGTTACACACTGTCAACATAGAGCCTGAGGCATGGTATCAACTGTGGTTTGCTTAACTGCCTGAGCCGCCCGGGGGCTCTTAGTGTGTACGCTTTAAAACTGGTCTTACTCTATTTTCCTAAGGTCATTGACATTAAATTTGTAAAATATAATGCTCTAAAGAGAAATATTTTAAAATCTTAAAGATTATTGGATTATTTATTTAATTTTTGTTATGTAAAAAGGTGATTTTTTTTCTAGAAATGAAATTTCATATTCAAGTAGTCATTTTTGGGTTTTTACATGATATATTTTTTTAAAAAGCTCTTTTTCTAGCAAAGTCAATACAAACCTATGTGTAATATTGAGAAATGTACCTAGAGTTAAACTTATTCTGAAATAGATTTCTGGGGTTGTAAAATCTTGAGGTTGTTCTAACAAAAGGCATATTGGGAGAATATCCTTTAATATTTTTTTCTTTGCTCTCTCTTCATCTCCCACCTCTACATTCCATGGAGTTTATTGAAAAATTGCTTGCTTTCAACATCACTTTTACTTGCAATGGTTTTTGGCAGCGTGTGCTTAGGTCAGTTAACTGCTTCCTTAGGTTTATAAACTGTGGGTCTGTATTTATAAACACAAGCTGCCGTGTATTTCCCGTGCAGAACGTGTGGAGAAACTTCCTTAGGAATCAAAACGGAAGTCCTCATCATCTCCCCCCACCGTTTTTACAGAAGAGGTATAAACCCCAAGAATACCCAAGGCACACCAGGGGAGTTTGTGGATGTAAAAAGAAACTAAATTTTGCATGGCCGTGGAAGTGTAACAAATGGAAAACTCCAGAATTATTATTATTTTTTTTTTTTTTAAAACTCCAGAATTATTTAGGCGGCGTCCTACCTAGAGCTGTTTGGACGACGTCCCTTACGCCTTCGTCTACCTACCCCGCCCCCCCAGCAGCACCACAGAGACAGTCGCCTGAATACTCCCACCGCCCACGAGCGAGCGGGGGCGGGGAGGACGCGGTGGGGGGCGGGCACCCGGGGGAGGTAACCAGAAACCACACCTCCCAGAGTGCTGTGCGCATGCCTCAGCGCGCGCTCCTCTCGCCACCCCAGAGGCCGCAGTTCTCGGGGCCGAGCCGAGAGGACGCCGGGCGCCTGCCGGGGCTCTGCGGGGCCGCGCAGGAGGGCGCGCGTCCGTCGGGTGCTCGCGCGGGTCGAGTGCGGCGCCGCTAGGTGCTGCGGGCAGACGCTGGGTTGCGCGAGCCTGGTTGCGCGGCTGCATCCTTGGCGAGGCCGGGAGGAGCCGAGCGGAGGGACCAGCGGAGGATCGAGGTAGCCGCGCTTCTTCCCCCCCTCACTCCTCTCTTCCTTTGTGCGGTGCTGTCGGTTCAAGCTGAGCCCTCCCTTAACCCAACCCTAAATCGTTACGCGGCTCGGGCTTGCGCTTCTAGCTCCGGGCAACTCCAGCCCTGCGAGCAGTAACTACCAACTCCACAGCTGAGAGGGTTTGGGGCCCCATTAAGCAGCTGCACGTTTTCTGTAGCTCCGGTTGGCGGGAGGAACGGGGTCGTATTTCCTCGAGGACATCCCAAGCCTCTGGCTCTGTCAGCCCCGTCGGTGGCCCCTTGGCTCGCTCCCTGGGTCTTTCGAGGAAGAGACGGACACGCAGGTGCTTGGTGGGGTGCAAGGGGGGAGCAGTAGCGGTGAGGGCGGCCGGCCTGTGGGTGCGCGGCAGGTGGGCTGTCTACCCGCCCTGCGGCGTGGGGACGCGCAGCCCGCCCGGGGCTGGCCCGCCGGAGCGGCTCGCTGTCCGTTGGGACCTGCTGGTACTGGGTGGGGGGTTGCTGCTCGCGCCAGATGTCCCTTCCTCGGCAGTGGAGACCCTAATGGAAGAGTGCCTCCTGATGGGACACCAGTAACCGAAGCCCCTTTCCGAAGACGCAGCCGCTCCGTGGAGTTTGTTTCACTGCGCCAGAACCAGCTCTTTCTTCCTTCGACTCGCTTCTGGGCTTGTTTAACGTGCCGGTTTCCTCAGGGAGGGCGATTTGTCTACATAGTTGGGAGTTTTCTAGCCCGGGGTTTGCCCTTTACTGAATTTGCACAGTCGTAGCGTTTGCGCGCCTGGATGTGAAAAGCCTTTTACGTATTTTACCACTTGGCAGCGTTGAATCCGATGACTTTTCGTAGGAAATTGAACCTTTCTCCGTATTGCCTTTTATCCGTTATAATAGCATAACTGTTTTTGGCCCTTTACCCTATGCTAACGTTAGTTACCACCTTGGGAGGATACTTTGGGGAAAGCTTCTTGAAAAACCTGGGTTGACTAAAGTATTTTATTTGCTGGTTGCACTTTTATCCCCCCATTATTTTTCTTTTATGCAAGTTGATAATTGTTTGACGTTTGCTGTTGTTCATTCTCAGTCAATGTGGAAACGCTTTCTCCATCTCCCTTGAATCCTGACTCTGGCAGAGGGTGGACTTGGGAGAACAGAGGACCTCTGCTTGGCGGTGGCTTTTTTCATTGGCTGCTGCGTTCCCTTCTTCCTAAACAACTCTGTAGTTTGTCAGTCAAACCCATGACCCACTTCAAACTTTTAGTCCCTTTGTACATTGCCTTTGAAAATATCAAATAATATGAACACAAATATAAAAGGAATCTTAAGATCACCGTACTCACTTATGCGTTTAATTTCATATTAACATTTAAAACATTGTTTTAGCATTTGATAAGCGTGCTCTTACTGTGTTTTTTTTTTTTAATGATAATATATTCTGTAATAATTGCATGTTTTCTATTTTGGCAGGAAACCTAATTCACAGTCTGGGTAATTTTTAGAAAACAGTGTCTCCTCATTTGCTAAGAAAGCCAGGTAAATTTTGACACACCCACCCACTCCTTTTTCAAAAGAGTTTATATTTAGGGCAGTTTTACCTTCATAGCAAAACTGAGTAAGGTACAAATTTCCCATGTACCCTCTGCCTCCATATGCCTCCTGCCCTGCTCCACATATGCACAGCCTCCCTCACTATCAAAATTCCCATGTGGGAATCGTACTTTTGTTAGAATTGATGAATCTATATGGACAGATCATTATCACCCAAGTCTGTAGTTTAAGTAGGGCTCACTCTTAATGTTGTATATTCTATGGGTTTAGACAAATAACACTTTAAAAAAAAAAAATCAAGAACTTTTAAGAGTTGTAGAGAATGTAAACATGAGTATTGTTATTTCAAAAAAGATTACACGGGTGGGGCGCCTGGGTGGGTTAAACGTGGGACTCTCTCCATCTTGATCTTGGCTGAGGTCATGATCTTGCTAGTTGGTGGGATGGACCCCCACACGGAGCTCAGAGTTGATTTGGAAAAAGCCCGCTTGGGATTCTCTCCTCTCTCTGTTCCTTTCTCGCTTACACACCCACTCTCTCTTTAAATAAATAAACTTAAAAAAAAATAAAAAAGATTACAAGAAATATTTTGAACATCCTAAAAATTAATTTCAAATAGTATTTGTGTTTTAAAAAAATTGGGTGTTTAAACTTTTGATTTCTTATGTTTAAATTTTCAACAGTTAGTTTTGTTTTTGTATATTAAGAATTAAAGAGATGAAGAACAAGAAATTCTTCACAGAATAACAAAAGTAACCATTATTTCCTTATATGTAAAAGGGGTATAACGTATTAAGTGTTATAATGTGAAATCATTTTATGAACTGTCATATAATACACTATAATGTTTATTGATATCATTAGTTAGATGCTGTTTTTTTTAAATGCTGCCAATATAGGGGCGCCTGGGTGGCTTAGTCGGTTAAGCGTCCGACTTTCGCTTAGGTCATGATCTCGCGGTTCGTGGGTTCGAGCCCTGCATCGGGCTCTGTGCTGACTGCCAGCTCGGAGCCTGGAGCCTGTTTCAGTCTGTGACTCCCTCTCTCTCTGACCCTCCCCTGCTCACGCTTTCTCTCTCTCTCCTAGAAATAAATAAAAACATTAAAAAAAAAAATTTAAATGCTGCCAATATAGTTTATTTTCAGGTGAATGTTGCTTAATACTATCAAACTTTTTTTTAATGTTTGTACATGAGAGTTTATTGTCTGGTTGTGAATGATTTAGTTAGATGAGTCAGAGATTTAGTTTTAGGAGTCAGATAAAATTATGGAGGAGAATCAAAAGTGCCTTGGGAAAATTTCTTCATCTTGCTGGTTCTTAACCTAGATCTATGAGGGTGTCCATAAATAGTCTTCCCAGAGTGTATGAACTCTGTATATCTGTACTTTCTGGGGAAAAGACCCCTAGCTTTTAATAGATGTTCAAAAGGGGTTCATTAACCGCCCCCCTCTTCCCCCACAAAGGTTCTGAGAACTTTTAGGATCAGTTATCTAGGCAGGCTTGTTTACTAAACATTTTGTAGATTATTTTTAATACTACGTTTTTTTTTCTTTTTTTAAGGTAATTTTTTAAATTATAGTTTATTGTCAGATTGGTTTCCATATAACACCCAGTGCTAAGAAAGGTAATTTTTGAAGCACATGAGTGCCTGTTTTTCTTCCGGAACTAGTAGTTGATATTTATGATATAGTATGTTCATATAAATAATAGTGCTGCTTTTTTTATGTGGCGATGACACCACTGATTGATCCATTGTTATTAGGCAGATACTGCCCATTCCTCTCCTCCCTTAATGTTTATTACTTATTTTTGAGAGAGAGAGAGAAAGAGAGCAAGCGAGCACAAGCAGGGAGAGTCAGAGAGAGGGAGACACAGAATCCAAAGCAGGCTCCAGGTTTTGAGCTGTCAGCACAGTGCTCGAATCTACGGAACAAGAAGATCATGACTTAAACTGATGTCATTGGAGGCTTAATGGACTGAGTCCGTCCAGGTGCCCCTCTCCTCCAGTATTGATGGGCAGTAGGATAGTTCCCAAGGAATGATACCCTAATACGATTCAGTATGTTAGAATATTATTTTGAAATGCTAAAAGATAATTTGGTTTCCTTATTTAAAATTTGAACATTTTTTCTTTTCTCAACAGACCACCAAATGCTAAAGAAAATTAAGAATTTTGCCTTCCAGATTAGATATTTGTTGTTATATAATGTTTCTTCTTGTATAGCATAGAGTGTAAGGTTTTATTAAATCCTAATTGATGGTTATTTTGACTTTGCTGGTTTAGAAAGAATTCATTTGTGATTTTTCAAGAAATTGACAGATTATTTAGATTATATAGATTAGATTATAATTTATAATTTTAGTTTATAACATGTAAAATTAATCTTACTTGCATTTGGGGAATTTTAGAGTTAGGTTAGAGTTCTAAGTTTGGGTTCATTCTTGTAATAGAGTTTGGAAGTAAGCTATATCAAACTGCCCTATTTTTCTTTTTAAGTGTTAGGTTGCTGCGCTCCGAGGCTCTACAGTGTGAAGCAACTTCTGTTTCTGGATCAGTTACAAGGAACATTCACAAGGCCTGAAGAGTAGGAGGTGAGTTAAGTGTTGGAGCATAAACTTAAGAAGAAACGTATGCTGCAGAGTAATACCTTTTGCTTTTCTCCTTGAGATCTTTTTTACTTTTTCCTTTTGCTATTGGTCAGTATTTTCATTTGAATTGGAAAATGTTTCAAAGTTCAAGTTGTAAACCAGTTCTTGGGAATTTATAGAATAAAGTAACTGACCTGTGTTTGAATCTCTAGGTTTGCTTCTTAATAAAATTAGTTTGAGAGGTTTATATAAATTTCAAAGATCAATTCAAGGTGAATGCTAGCATTTGCATAGTACTTTGCATGCACAAGATAAGCCACTATGCTGCATCTTTAGCTATTTTAATGCAAGGATTGCTTATTACTTTAATAATGAAAACTTGAGTTAAATTAATAGGATATAAAACAAAGAGAGATCATTTCAGCAAAAATTTTACCTATGGGAAAACTATCATTTTAAGATCATTGATTTTATGTGTATTCTCTTACTGTCGAACTTTAAAAATTTCAAAAACATTTCCTGTATGGGAAAATAATTATTAATACTCTGTTTTACTTCTTATAAAGTAATTTGTATATACCATACAAAGATACAGTTAACGTCATCTTTGACCTTGTGGTAAGACTTCTGGCTTTGTAGTCAGGCAAGCCTATGTTGAATCTTGGGCATTGACACATAATAGCTTTGTGACCTTGGGTAGCTTTCTTAGCTTCTCTGAACTTCATTATCCACAACTCTCAATATAGGAATAATACTCTTTGGGTTGTCCCAAGGACTGAAATGAACAAATGTTAAATATCTAGCTCAAATAATAGCAGTTACTTGTATAGTTTATGTCCCAGACATTTTATTAAGTCATTTAATTATTATAACAATTCTATAAAGTTAGTACTATTATTTTCTACGTTTTTACAGATGAAAAAACTGAGGCTAATGAAAGATTATATAACTTAACCGAGGTCATACAGCTAATAAGTAGATAGCACTCAAAGCTGACTGTTGTCCTTGAAAGAACAACAGTAGGGAAGACTTAGGGTAATATAGCCAGTTCTGATTATCTTTTGCTGTAATGAAAAATGCATCTGCATGTAGATTATTATAAAGCATATTTTATTTGTTTGCTGGAAAAAATGTTGGAGTATTGTGTTCCTAAGGACTCAGGATCACATAATTTATGAAAGTAATAATGTTCATTTATTGAATGCCGATTGTAAACTAAATATAGGGTTAAACATTTTATATTATTATTACTTCATTTAAACTTCACAACAAACTTCAAGAAAGCTGAGGCTCAGAGTGATTCTAAGTGACATGCCCAAGGCTGACAGCTAATAGAGAATTTCAAAACTGATCCTAAGGTCTGCTGTTAATCACTAGTTTATGTGCCTTGTGTTAGACATTGCTGACAGATTTTTCTAAAAATCTAAGCCACAGCTTAAGGAATTTTAAATACAAGAAAAGTACTCTCATAGTTTAGAAAGAAACAGTGATTACCTAAAACTAGGGTCTGAGAGGTCATACTCAACTTGTTTTCACTTTTGTAAATAAAGTTTTATTGGAACACAGCCACACTCAGTTCCCTATGTATTGTTTCTTGCTGCTTTCATACTATAATGGCATGGTTGAGTGGTCATGAAAGAGACTGTATGACTCACCGAGCCTAAAATATTTACTATTTGGTCCTTTATGAAAACAGATTGATGATCTGTGACCTGCCCAATCATCTTCTTTTTATAAATGAAGAAACTGAGACTTGGAGAGATTAGGTAACTTCCCCAAAATGTATCTAGTTAAAATCCAGTTATCTTGATACCTAACTCAGTGTTATTCCTGCTACATCATGTTATCTCTTTTTATTTTTATCTTTTTAAAAGTTTTAATTTATTTATTCATTTAAGCAATCTCTCTACCCAACACGGGGCTCAAACTCACAATCCTGAAATCAGGAGTCCCATGCTCTTCTGACTGAGCCCTCCAGGTGCCACATGCTACCTCTTTTTAAGTTCTAAAATCAATAGCTGTACCTTATGGTCATTATATAAGGGACTTTAAAGCATTGTAAAATGTTTATGACTATAAGAATATATATTTTTTAAGTTTCTTAATTTCTGAGAGAGAGAGTGTGCAGGGGAGAGACAGAGAGGGAGAAGGAGAATCTCAGGCAGACTTTGCACTGTCAGCATGGAGCCTGATAGAGGGCTTGAACCCACAAACTGTGAAATCATGACCTGAGCTGAAATCAAGAGTTGGATGTTTAACCCATTGAGCCACCCAGGTGCCCTGACCTATAAGAATATTTAACCTAGTTAAAACAGGCATGCTAGCTGTAATAGTAAATATTTAGTCATTTCTTTTTTATTCTTAAAATTTGAGGAACTTTTGGGAATATACTTTGTATGTCCCAGTCTATAAATTTCTGTGGCCCACTTTCAATTTATGTTTCCTAATTTTCCTCCACAGATTTCTCTATAGTAAATAGAAATTTTTGTAATCATTCATTAATTGAATGAATTCAATTAATTCAAGTCTCAGTACATTTAAGAAGCAAGCATCTTTTCTCATCACAGTGGTATGAAACTAGAAATCAGTACAGGGGGGAAAAAAACTGGAAAAAAACACAAACACGGAAGCAGAACCACAAGCTACTGAATAACTAGTGGTCATTGAAGAAATCAAAGAGGAAATAAATACATGGAGACAAATGAGAATAGAATCACAATGGTTCAAATACTCTAGTGGGTGGCAAAGTCCTACCTCAAGAAACAAGAAAAATCTCAAACAATTTAACTGTATACCTAAAGGAACTAGAAAAAGAGCAAAGCCCAAAATTAGTAGAAGGAAAAAAGTAACAAAGATCAGAGAAGAAATAAAATGCTCTTAATAAAGGCAAAATGATCAATGAAACTGAGGACTGGTTCTTTGAAAACCTTTAGCTAGGCTTATCAGGAAGAAAAAGAAGAGGACTTAAATATATAAAAGCGGAAATGAAAGAGAAGTTACTACAACACCATAGAAATATAAAGGATTGTAATAGACAACTATGAAAAATAATATGCCAACAAATTGGACAACTTAGATGAAAGCATAAATTTCTAGAAACATAATTTTCCAAAACTGAATTAAGAAATAGAAAATCTGAATAGATTGATTACTAGTAACGAAACTGAATTGGTAATCAAACCCCCAACAAACAAAAGTCTAGGAACCTATGGTTTCCAAGGTGAATTCTACCATGCATTTGGAGAAGAATTAGTACCTATTCTTATAAAATTATTCAAAAAAATAGAAGAGGAAGGAGTGCTTCCAAATTTATTTTATCAAGCCAGGATTATTCTGATACCAAAACCAAAGACACCAAAAAAAGGAAAATGTACATATAGGCCATTATCTCTGGCGAGCATAGATGGAAAAGTCCTCAACAAAATATTAGTAAACAGAATTCAACAATACATGAAAAGGACATGCACCACTATTAAGTGGGATTATTCCAGGGATGCAAGAATAGTTCAGTAGTCACAACTCAATGTGATACATCACATTAACAGGAGGAAAGAAAAAAAACCATGATTCTCTTCATAGATGCAGAAAAAGCATTTAACAAAGTACAGTATTCACTCAAGTTAAAAACACAACAAGGTGGGTTTAGAGGGAACATACCTCAACACAATACAGGTCATATATGAAAAACAAACAGAGGACTTGAATAGATATTTATCCAAAGAAAGTATAGAGATAGCCAACAGGCACATGAAAAGATGCTCAACATTACTAACCATCAGGGAAATGCAAATCAAAACCACAATGCGGTATCACCTCACACCTGTCAGAATGGTCATTAGCAAAAAGACTAGAAATAACAAGTCCTGGCAAGGATATGAAGAAAAGAGAACTCTTATGTATTGTTGGTAATGTAAATTGGTGTAGCCACTATGGAAAACAGTATAGAAGTTTCTCAGAAAAATTAAAAATGGAAATACCTATGCACCCTATTGTTATTATTAGCATTATTTATAATAGGGAAGCAACCCAAGTGTCCATCAGTAAAGATGTGGTATATAAATACAGTGGAATATTAGCTATGAAAAAGAACAAAATCTTGGCCATCTGCAACAACATGGATAGGCATAGAGGGTATTATGTTAAGTACAGTCAATCAGAAAAATACAAATACTATATGATTTCACTTTTATGTGGAATCTAAAAAACAAATGAACAAACAAAAAAGCTAAACAGACTCTTAAGTAAAGAGAACAAGTTAGAGGTTGCCAGAGGTGAGGTAGGTGGGAGATTGGTGAAACAGATGAAGGGGATCAAGAGGTATAAACTTCCAGTTATCAAGTAAATCAGGAATGAAAAGTACAGCATAGAAAATATAATAATATTGTGATAATTTTGTAGGTGACGTATCTACACTTATTGTGGTGAACATTGCATAATCCGTGGAACTGTTGAATCACTGTGTTTTATACTTGAAAGTAATATAATGTATATGTCAACTGTACTTCAGTTTTAAAAACAAAAGAAGAATGAGTCTAATAGCACTATGCTCCTTATATAGCAATAGTTACTATAGAGAAGTTCTTCAAAGTGCCATTTGGAGTTCCTCTTTCTACTTAGTACTGTTCTGATTAATATGTAGTGTAAAAGTCACTTTTTGCCTACAAAGACTTTAGTTATAAGAATAATACAGTATGAATATAGTGTTCTGCATAACATTATTATATATTGATAGTACATGTAGATTGTAAGTGCAAATAAGTTAGAAAAAAGAAAATAGAGTGACTTAATGTAATGCCTTTATGCTTTTACTGTGTTTGTTGTAATTTATTGAGTTGTGTTTACATGTAAAAACACATTAGTTATATATTCTCTGCATCCAACCAGTAAAACCATCTGCTTCTGTTTGAAATACTTTTTTTTCAGAACTTCCTATTTTCTGGATTGATAATGACTTTACTAGCATTTAGAGGAACAGAAAATTGTCTCATTTCTTACCTGCTTCAGTAGGATTAACACAGTATGGTGTGATAGAAACAGACCTCCATGGGTCATCTCCTTTTTTCTGTTTTTAATCTCTTAATATATTTGGGGAAGGAGTAGTATCTTATTTTTTTCTCCTGAAGTGTCAGAATCTAAGTACATTTTTTTTTTTTTTAACATTTTGGGTTATAGAGTTTAGATTGAGATTTACTTTTCACTTAATACTAACATATAGTCTTTATAAGTCTTAAAGTCTGCTAACTTCCTTGGAGAAGTGAAGTGTTGTAGGGTAAATATTCCTTTCCTGATTTTGTCTTCCTATTTTATTATATATATATATATTTAAATTAAGGGCACTGTGTTCTTTGAATAGACCATTTTAAAAGAATTTGGTATAGAAAGATTTTGAGCTTTTGTGTCTTACCCAAATCTGATGTCAAATGTAAGAATGATTTTATAAAAATGAATATTTATAATGCCCTTTTCATAAAGCAGCCCTCTGACAAAGGAAGTTTTGTGGCAATAATAAATTAAGCCTTTAAACAGAAGCTAGAGTGGTTTGATATAAGGGAAAATGTGTATGATAGTTTTGAATCCTGTTACATAAACTAGTGAAGTTGAGAAGTAAGATATCAGTAATACTTGCCATCAGAATATTCCGACTCTTGGGCACAAATTATGGTATGATGAAAGTTCTGGATGATGGAAGACTCACTGGCCTAACCAGCAATGAAGAGTTGAGCCTGTTCTTTATACTGGGGGGAAAACATACAGCCAACAAAAATCATGTTAACTCAATCACTTATGACCCAGGCTTATGTGGGCAAGATACATAGATATTAAGATACTCTAAGAGTTAACATTGTATTGAGCAGACAAGTCTAAAACACAAAAGGAATAAAGTCAGAGAAGTACAGTGTACTATGTAGATTCACAGAAGGGTGATCATAACCCATTGGGAGAATTTAGAGAAGGCTTCATGCAATTCAGAAACATTGTTTAAGTTTGGCCTACACATCATTCCCTCAAAAGAAATAGCTTAAGTACTTACACATATATTTGAGAAAAATGAAATAGTGAAGTCTGATGTAGTAGAAAAATAGCGGGCTTAATCAGCTGAATTGAAATCCTGGCTCCCATATTCTACCTGTGTGATTTTGGGCAAGTCAGGGATGTTAAGGCCATCTATAATGTAATTGTGGTGCTTAAATGAGAGTATGTGTAAGACTTCTGGCAAAGTATGTGACACATGGTGATTTAATAAGTAGGTTTTCCCCCTCCCTTCCCCTACTTTATGTCCAAATTTAATGGAGGAAAAGACTGGAATCAGAGCAAGGAGGGCTTGGCTTTGAATGCCAGAAGAAGCAATTTGAACTATGTAGATAAAACAGTTTGGAATTGACACTGAGAGCTAGATAAATCTGGCAGCATTGCTCTTAGTAGGTGTATAGGGATGATAGGGGCACAGTGATTGGTTAATGGGAGCTGTTCTACTCCAGGCAAGATTTGTAGGTCTCAGTACAGTAGTCTCCCACCCACCTTATCCGTAATTTCATTTTCTATGGTTTCAATTTTGTGAGGTCAGCTGCTGTTCAGAAACAGATGATCCTCCTGATGTATCATCAGAAGGTCAGTAGTAGCCTAACAGTACGTCAACGCCTGTTTCTGAACTGTGTTCTATTGACATATATGTCTATCCATTTGTCATTATCATATTGTCATTGTTTAAGGTTTTACATTTAAAGTGTTTTTAGAGTTATTCCTGTAAACCCACCATTCACTTTCCCCTTTTATTAACATCTTTCATTAAATTGGTACATTTGTTAAAGTTAATGAACCAGTATGATACATTATTAATTAACCCCCCATACTTCATTCAGATTTTCTCAGATTTTTGTTTGTTTTTGATTTTTTAAATAAGCTCCATGCCCAATGCAGAGCCCAACACAGAACTCCCAACTCATAACCCTGAGACCAAGACCTGAGCTAAGGTCAAGAGTAGGATGCTTAACTGACAGAGCCATCCATATTTCCTTAGTTTTAACTAATGTCCTATTTCTGTTAGAGGATATTTCAATTATTATTCTTTTTACTTCCAGAAACTCTTTTTGGTTTCTATCTAGTTTTTCTTTTTCATTTTTGACAGTATTGGTTGTTTTCCTGATTCTCTTTACATTTTTAGTTCTTTGAGCATCTTTAAGAGAGTTGCTTTAAAGTCTTTACTATAAATTCCATTAGTTCCTTTTCAGTACAGTTTATTGTACTCCACCAACTGCACCTTTTGAATGGGTCATATTTCCCTGTTTCATTGTTGAACACTGGGCTTTTGAATCTATAATGTAGTAATTCTGTAAATTAGTGTCCAGATTAATCTGATTCTTTAAGGTCTGCTTTTTTTTGTTTTTGTTCTTTTTGATTGTTGTAAGCCATCTCTGTGCTGAAAATCAGACTGAGGTATATAATTTAAGGTGTTCTCAGGTCTTTTCTTAGCATTTCCCTTGGCACACATTGTCACTTCCTAATTTTCCTTGTATATACTCATGTTTTTTATTGTCTTAACTGTGAAAAGTAGAAGGGGAGAACAAACAAACAAAAAGACTGAGGAGGAAGGGCATGAGCCTTTTAAATTCTCTGCAAGGCACTTCAGCTAAGAGGGGGTGCAACAGTATGTGGAGGTGTATTAACAATGACTATCCACCTCTTTGTCTGCGCTTCTGTGATCAGAAGCAGTAGTCAGCATTCAGCAGAGATCCCTGATACTTGGAGGACAAAGTCCTTTTTGCCCACCCCAACTCCTGAACATTGTGTAAGCTGCTCCAGGAGCATGCACACAGCTGCTTATTTGACACCTAACTGAGGATGTAGGGACGCACAGCTGCTACTGTATTTAAGAGCTGAAGTTGACAAAATTAAACATTTCAGTCTTTCTTTGAAAGCCCTTGACAGACTCCACAGTTTGATTCTGCCAGTACAATTTTTGCCTTGGTGGGGAAGACAGATTCCTGCTACTTCTCTTCCACCATTTTCCCAGAATTTTCAAATTAGAGTTTAAAGGTGTTCCTTCACTGAAATAATTAGATGAGGTAATTATTATGACATTTAGCATAGGGCTGCAAAGTTACTTGTTCTTTTTTAAGTAGTAATTTATGTGGTCATTTTATAAATGTAGCTTTGGTAAACTGTAATTACTAATGATACTTTTTAGTTTGTTTTTATGTGTTTTGCTGTTTATTTTTCAGTCTCAGCCAATTGGACAATGGCAATTTGAGTGGGTTTTGAAAAATGTTTGAAGGTTAGTGGACTGCATCTACCTTCTACTTCCTCTGCACACTTTTTAAGAGAATAAATGGAATGTTTGAGAAGAGAGCTATATTAAAAGAAGAGTGTTGCAAATGGCTTCAGAATCTGTGAATGCAAAACAAGCTAGGAATCACTGCACAAAGGGGAAAAGGCAGCAGCACCAGCAAATAAAGAATAGGTCTTCAGTTACTGATGGTGATGGAGAAGACTCTTTTATCTTTGAAGCTAATGAAGCTTGGAAAGATTTTCATGGTTCCCTTCTTCGATTTTATGAAAATGGAGAACTGTGTGATGTCACACTAAAGGTGAGACTGTCTTGTCTTCTTTTTCAAACTCCTTAAGTTGTATTATGAAAAATGAGAGTTTATAACCACACAAGGCAAATTTTTGGTACCATACTTACTTGTTATAGTCAGAATTTTAGTCTCAATCCTTTTTTGTTGAAGGGGAAAAGATTTAAGGAAGGTAAGTAGAGGAGGATTAGGATAAGGTAAAATTATTGTACTAATTAATTGTTAATATTCATTATTTCATAGTTAATTTAACTTCTGAGAATTTTGGATCTTAAAACAACAAATAATTATTATTAGTGAAATTAATAAATTGCTGTTGACCAGTAAGCTTTTTTTATGTATTTAAAATACTGAGCTATTCACTTACTCTTGATGTAAGTTAGAAGTTAGGAATCCTTGGTTGTTTACTCAGCTGCACTTGTATTTTAGTACATGTTCCTAGTCTGGTAATTTAGTCTCTACTTTATAACAATTGTCTCTTAAGTGAAGTTCTATATACCTGATAATGAAGTAGAATATATTTAGACTTAGATAAAAAAGTGTGGTAAATTTTAAGTCTGTGGTCTGTAGACCATATGTTATCATGTTATTCTGTTGCACAAGACAGTTTTAGTAAAATTGGAAAAGTAATAAAGCAGTGTGGAAGAACTCATTTTCTAATTGTTCCTCATTAGTTGTTTAAAGTACTCTTACCATTTCTATATCTCAGTGTAATATTAAAAAATTTTTTGATGATGTATATGCATCCATGCAGCATTTTCCATATATGATTTGCCAGTTTGGGATCTCTTAGATTTTGCTTTCTGCTCTTGATCAGACAGATTTTTAAAGCTGAGTCATAGGGATTGAAATCATACTTGAAGAATCAGATCAGAGGATACTCAATAGGAGTTTATAAACTGAAAGCATAAGCTTTGAATTTTAGGTCCAGAATGTCTGAGAATATATAGTATTATACCATGAATAAATGAGCTGTATTTTTTCCTTACTGTCTTTATGATTTATAGACCCTAGATAGTGAGAAGAAAACCATTATATAATTTTAGCTCTGTGTGAAATTTAACCATGTAGGAACACTCAAGTTTTTTTGTTCTGTATGTATATTATGTTTTAATTTTATGCCATTGCTCTAATTTTTAACCCTGGTGTGAAATTCAGTGACCCATACTGGCTTTAACAAAAATAAAAAATGTAAAATAGATTGTTTGAATTCAGTTAATTATCATTCAGCAAATGGAAAATAGAGTATTGATTTTATAAATTTTATAATTGAATTTTAGAATATATAACATAGTGCATATAAATGTTAAGTGAAAAATAGGGGATATAGCCATTTTAGGGCAAGTAAGAATTAAACTCATAACTTTGTTTATTATGTAGCTTAAGCAATAGATTGAAATAAAAACTTTCAAAGAGTCAGCGGTTGAAAACTAAAATACTATGTTTTAGACAGTGACAGGGGAGCCTGGGTGGCACAGTTGGTTAAGCATCCAACTCTTGATTTCAGCTCAGGTTATGACCAGGTGGTTCATGAAATTGAGCCCCACATTGGGCTCTGCCCTGGGAGGGTCAGAGCCTGCTTGGCATTCTTTCTCTTTCTCTCTTTCTTCCCCTCCCCTGCTTGTTCGCTGTCTCTCTCTCGCTCTCTCTCTCTTTCAAAATAAACAAACATGAAAACAATTAAAAAATAAACAGTGACAGATCATTTAGGAATGAGAAACACTTCATTAATTTAAAGGGATTATCATTTTTATTTTTTCATCTGTAAAATGAAGAGTGATGATTAGGTTTTTGTAAGGAATAAGTGAATTGATACAAGTAGAGTCCTTATGGCAGTGCTGAGTACATAATAATAAATATCAGCTCTTTGGATCGTTATGTATATAGTACTATAATAATTCCAGGGATATCAGGTAATTCTGCTATAGTATATTCTATTCCTACTCATTAGAAACTATTACAACTTAATCTTTTAACAGGTCTGTTATTGGATTTGTTTCTCAATTCTAATTCAGCATTTCTTCAACACAGAATTTAACTATCATAGAACAATTAAGTCAAATAGGATTACAGATAATTCATAATGCCCTGTTTAACATAAATTTCACTTTTTATATTCATATAACCTTGAAGATTATTCTGTAATATAAAGTCATTGCCTTTTTAAAAATAAGTATGTTTCCTTTGATCATTATTGCTTTGAAGGCAGACATTTTAGATAAAGACAGTTATTGGGGCGCCCAGCTGGCTCAGTCGGTGGAGTGTGCAACTCTTGATCTCAGAGTTGTAAGTTAGAGCCCTGTGTTGGGTGTAGAGGTTACTTAAAAAGAAAATCTTTTTTTAAAAAAACAGTTATCCAAATTTATATTATTCTTCATATATAAGGTCATTCGCCAATTTTAAAATTCCAAAATGAAAAAAAAATTCCAAAGTGAGCACTATTAGAAACAAAAAAATAAGTTTAGGGTACAAAATCAACGTACAGAAATCGGTTGCATTTTTATACACCAATGATGAAACAACAGAAAGAGAAATCAAGAAACTGATCCCATTCACAATTGCACAAAAAACCATAAAATACCTCGGAATAAACCTAACCAAGGATACAAGAGATCTGTATGATGAAAGCTATAGAAAACTTATGAAGGAAATTGAAGAAGACACAAAGAAATGGAAAAACATTCCATGCTCATGGATAGGAAGAATAAATATAGTTAAGATGTCATTACTACCTAAAGCACTCTACACATTCAATGCAATTCCAATCAAAATTGCACCAGCATCCTTCTCAAAACTAGAACAAACTATCCAAAAATTTGTATGGAACCACAAAAGACCCCGAATAGCCAAAGTAATACTGAAAAATAAAACCAAAACGGGAGGTATCACCATCCCAGACTTTAGCCTCTACTACAAAGCTGTCGTCATCAAGACAGTATGGTATTGTTACACAGACACCTAGACCAATGGAACAGAATTGAGAACTCAGAAGTGGACCCAAAAGTATACAGCCAATTGATCTTTGACAAAGCAGGAAAGAATATCCAATGGAAAAAAGACAGCCTTTTTAACAGATGGTGTTGGGAGAATTGGACAGCAACATGCAGAAGAATGAAACTAGATCATTTTCTCACACCATGCACAAAAATCACCTCAAAATGGATAAAGGACCTGAACTTGAGACAGGAAACTATCAACACCCTAGAGGAGAAAGCAGGAAACAACCTCCTTGACCTCCACCGCAGCAACTTCTTACTTGACACATCCCCAAAAGCAAGAGAATCAAGAGCAAAAATAAATGATTGGGTCCTCATCAAGATTAAAAGCTTCTGCACAGCCAAGGAAACAACCCAGAAAATTAATAGGCAACCAACGGAATGGGAAAAGATAGTTGCAAATGACATATCAGATAAAGGGTTAATATCCAGAATCTATAAGGAACTCACCAAACTACACGCCCGAAAAACAAACAACCCAGTGAAGAAATGGGCAGAAGACATGAACAGACACTTCTCCAAAGAGGACATCCAGATGGCCAACAGACACATGAAACGTTGCTCAGCATCCCTCCTCATCAGGGAAATACAAATCAAAACCACACTGAGATACCACCTCACGCCAGTCAGAGTGGCTAAAATGAGCAAATCAGAGAACTCTAGATGCTGGCGAGGTTGTGGAGAAACGGGCACCCTCCTACACTGTTGGTGGGAATGTAAACTGGTACAGCCCCTCTGGAAAACAGTGTGGAGGTTCCTCAGGAAACTAACAATGGAACTCCCCTATGACCCAGCAATAGCACTGCTAGGAATTTACCCAAGGGATACAGAAATGCTGAGGCATAGGAGCACATGTACCCCAATGTTCATAGCAGCACTCTCCACAATAGCTAAAACATGGAAAGAGCCTAAGTGTCCATCAACAGATGAATGGATCAAGAAGATGTGGTTTATCTATACCATGGAATACTACATGGCAATGAGAAACAATGAAATCTGGCCATGTGTAGCAACATGGATGGACCTTGAGGGTGTTATGCTGAGCGAAATAAGTCAGGCAGAGAAGGACAAATATCGTATGTTTGCACGTATAGGAGGATTAGGAGGAACTTGACGGAGGAACAAGGGGGAGAAGAAGGGGGAAATAGTGGGGGAAAGGGAGAGAGGCAAACCATGAGAGACTCTTGAATGCTGACAAAAACTGAGGACTGATGGATGTGGGGGGGAGGGGGGGATGGGCATGGAGGAGGACACTTGTGGGGATGAGCACTGAGTGTTATGTGGAAACTAATTTGACAATAAACTATTTGTTAAAAAAAAAAAAATAAGTTTATTTAGCAGATACTTACTAAGGCCCTACCCTAGTATATGGAGATTATAAATAAATTTGAGTAATATTCTGTTCTTGCCTGGAGGGTATTTGAAATTTATCCAGAGAAAGGCACATACACACCTAACTATAATTTAGTGATCATTTTTGTGTTATTTTTATGGCAGGACAGGAGAGGATCTATGAATTATGCCTGAAAGATGACCGGAAAGGCTACACAGAATAGATTATCTTGAGGTCATTCCAGGGTGAGGTAAAACTTTCTTATATATTATTTTGTTTATTAGGGGTAACATTTTATGTTTAATTTATTTTTTAGATGTTTATTTAGAGAGAGAGAGAGAGAGAGAATGAGCAGGGGAGAGTCAGAGGGAGAGAGGGAATCCTAAGCAAGCCCTGCTTCCAGCATGGAGCCTCACATGGGGCTTGATCCCACAACCCCGGGATCATGACTGGAGTCAAAATCAAGAGTTTGTCGCTTAACTGACTGAGCCACCTAAGTGTCCCAGTGAAAACATTTTAAATAATATATCCAGTAGCAGTTCTAAAATTATATAGGGGGGAAGCTTTCTTAAGGGCAACAATTTGGTTGGATAAAGGACGGGAATTTGTCTTGCAGAGGTTGCATAGCACTCGTGCTTAAATTATATGTTCTAGATCAACAAAAGATTACAAAGATGCTTCTA